GGGCTGGCTGGCATGTGGTGCTGGGGGATTGAACCGCGGTCCCTGATGCTTTTGCTAAGCTTGTTATAAGTAGGTGCTTTAGACCACTGAGCCATCTCTCCAGCCCCCTTTTTTATTTTTGAGACAGGGTCTTACTAGGTTGTCCAGGATGGCCTCAAACTTTCAATCTTCCTGCTCAGCCTCCTCAGTAGCTGGGATTACAGGCAAGTGCTACCAAGAATATATAAAGATACCATTTTATAAAAGTATGTCTCATTTAGAAAATTTGGCCAGGCTGGGGAGATAGCTCAGCGGTCTAAGTGCCTGCCCGTCATGCACAAGGGCCAGGGTTTGATCCCTGGTACCACACCAAAACCAGGCATGGTGGTGCACTCTTGTAATTCCAGTGCTGGGGAGGCAGAGACAGGAGGATCACTATGAGTCTGAGCTTCATAGTGAGACCCTGAACCAAATAAATAAATGAATAAATAAGGTATTTTCTTAAAAGCTTAAAAAAAAAAAAAAGATTTGATGGCAAGTGCAGAGTCCTGAGTTCAATCGCCGGTACCAAAAAAAAAAAAAAAAAAATATGTAAAACAAATATTACCAGACATGAAAAATCAAAAAAACATTAATAAAATTGAAAGAAAAAGAAAATGTGGCCAAAGCAGCAGCAGAAAAAAGTCACTCAGAATCCTAGGACTTAGCTAAAGTTATGGGAGGAGCCTTGAGGAGCAACAGATACTAAGTAGATATAACAGCCAAGATACAGTATTCCTAACATTCTAATCCTACCCTTGGGATCATTCTGTGATGAAATTAAGTTGTAGGGCTAGCACCCAAGTCTTACTCTCAATCAGTTACATTTCTTTTTGAGCTCACCAAGCCTCTTTAGTACACACAGAACAGACCCTACCTATTGTGGAACCCTAGGGAGCCAGACTACACAATGGGAGGCCCAAAGGGTAGAACAAAACAAAAACAGAGAACAAAACATTAATAATTTCAAAATAAATTTCCTTATAACAGTTAAAGATAAAACTAGCCTGTTTGGAGATCTGGCTATTCTCTCTCTCTCTCTCTCTCTCTCTCTCTCTCTCTCTCTCTCTCTCCCCTGACTTGTTGGACAGTGAGGTAAAACAGTTTGGGCTTGATCATGAAGAATTTCAGCATGAATAAAGCTACGTTGGGGCCAGCAAGATAGTTCAGCAGTCTATTTTTTTTTTTTTTTTTCTCAGAACCAGGGATTGAACTCAGGCCCTTGTGCTTGCCAGGCAAGCACTTATTCTACTGAGCCATCTCCCCGACAATTAAAGCTCAGCAGTCTAAAGTGCCTGCTTAGGTAAGCGTGCAGGGACCATGGTTTGATCCCCAGCACCACATGCTATGCCAGCTCTGCCCCCAGGGTAAGCTGAGCCAGCCAAAAAGAAAAAAAAAAGCTACTTGGGGTAACTGGGCCTAGTGTAGAAGCTCAATCTCAAATAATGACTTCCTATAAATTTTATTTAACACATAAAACATAATTTCTATTTTATTTACTGAAGAGAATATTTTTATTTTTTAATTTTTTTAATTTTTTGCTTGTTTAAGGGTTTTATTTTCTTTTAAAACAGGTAGTATATTTTGTTTTGTTTTTGAATTGGGGCTTCACTGTGTCATCCAGGCTGGCCTTGAACTCACTCTGTAGCCCAGGCTGGCCTTAAACTCATGGTAGTTCTCCTGCCTCAGCCTCCCAAATGCTGGGATTACAGGCTTGGGCCACTACAACTGGCCAGGTAGTACAAATTGAGTTGCAATTAAAATTCAAAAGTCATGCATGAAAGACAGAATATATGTACCCATTTTCTCTCTCTGGGGGCAACCCATATGATAAATTTGTGTGTTCTAAGTATTTACATATACTTTGCATCTCTGTGTTGTGCTTTAAAATCAGGTCTCATTTGATAGGAATTTAGTTCTTTTCTAATTGTTGCTGTTAATTGTAATTTTTTAATGTATTGATAGTAACATAAATATGTACTTTATTAGTGGGGGTTTCAGTATATTAAATACATTCATAGTAGAGAAGTCCTACATACATATACTTATTGCATCATAATCCTTATATGGTTGTGGGAGAGCACACCAACTATTGTGGGGGCGGGGCTTTGGATAGAGAGTGACTCACACAAGGTACTTTTTTTTTTTTTTTTGGAACCAGGGATTGAATTCAGGCCCTTGTGCTTGCCAAGCATGCACTTATTCTACTGAGCCATCTCCCTGGCCCCTATCTTAGTTACTTTTCTCTCATTGCTGAGATGACAAACTACCCAACACCTAAAGTTAACGGGGCAAACGTGTTTTTAGCTCACGGTTTGTAGAGGTTTCAGTCCATCATCAGCTGGCTCCAAGGTGAGCTGGTGTCACAAAGGAGAAACAGTTCATGGCAGGCAGAAGGGAGCAGAGCAGGCAAGAAGCCTTGGCAGCCCTCTTCTGTCCCTTCTGTGCTCTGTTTAATCAACTGAATTAGGGTGGTACCAGACCATTCAGTGGATTCATTAATCCCATAGGCTTAATCCCAGAAGAGAATATTTTTAAATTTTAGTTGTCAATTAGGTCCAGTAAAAGGCAAGAGAGATTAAGGGAAAAAAAACCACTGAAAGATACTGCTGGTCAGCTTTCTATTGCTGTGACAAAACACTTAGAATAATAAACTTTCAGGAGGAACAGTATCTGCAGTGTGCAATGTGCTGTTGTCTACATAAATCCTAGCCATCTGAGCCAGTGTAACCCATTTTTCTTGTGGGCTCTCACAGCCTCCTTACACCATTTATTTGTATTTTCAAAGGCCAACTGTTGAACTATCGACTTTTTAAAAAAATAATTTTATTGAGAAACAAATAGCAATGAGACAGTTTGAACTATCAACTTGCTAGTCTCTGTATCACTTATAATCCTCCTACTAGCCTGTAACAAGAACATCACAAAAACTTAAGAAGGTTCCTCAGGCTCCTGACGAATGGAACTCATATCAAGGCATGTCTCGCCCTTTGAAGGAAGCTCCCCCTCCAAGCCCTGTGGCAGCTATCTTAATCTGCTCATCCTCTGGCAATTCAAAAGTAAGTTGAGTATTTGTAGCAGCAAAGGTACCTCCTCTGGTTAACATGTTCTTTTTGTAATGGCGATGCTATAAGTAGCACTGAGCAGGCCTAATCTGAGCACGATCCAAAAAAATTTCCTTTCCACAACAAATAATTCCCCACACTTAAATACACGTTAGCTATTCCTTTCCAATACTTTGAAGCTATAATTTCTTGCTCTAGAAGCTCTTTAAACCTAGAGTAGGGGCTGGTGAGATGGATCAGTGGTCTAAAGCACTTACTTAGAGCAAGCTTGGCAGAGCACAGGGACCGCGGTTCAGTCCCCCAGCACCACATGCTGGCCAGCCGCCCCCCTGGTGGGCTGAGCTGGCCACACACACACACACACACACACAAATAAATAAAAAAAAAATTAAACCTAGAGTAAAGGGGGCTGTGGAACTATAGGTAGTGGCAGCTTGTTTTAATTCCTTTAGGACCTTAAAGTGTACAGCTTCATGAAGACGGTTAGTTCCAGGTTATTGGGGCTTGATGTATGTTGAAAACCCTTCATAGACTCTCCATCCATCTGGCTTCCTTGAATGCCAATTGAAGGAAGAGAGAGAGAAAATAGCTCTACTTCCTGAGAAAAAAATTTTCATCCTGTGCTGCAACAAAACTCTCCAAGCCCGAAAGGCAGAAAATGCTGCTTGTGGCTCAGCTAAATTCATTGGGCAGTGTAAAACAGAATTCACCACGAACTACTCTTCC